GTTTCTTATTTTTTTTTTTTTAATTTTGAAAATGAAAATTTTTCAAATACCCTTGACCTTAAAACTTAGAATCCATGTTATATAAGAGTACTAAAAAAAGAGCTTAATTACATATGTTAGCAAACCCATATATATATATATATATATATATATATATACAGAGAGAGAGAGAGAGAGAGAGAGGAGATTCATTTTTCTCATTGTTATTATTTCTATATAAAAAATAGTAATCAAACTAAATAATAATTTTATTTTATGATTATACATTTTGTCAAATTTTGTTAACTTCCTATACTATCCAAATTTGAAAGATGAATATTATAATGCCATGAATAGTGAGTCGATAAAAACAATCAATGATAAAAAAAATATATATTTGAAGTTATTTACAACTAATTGAAATTTGTCTTTTGTAAATATGATATTCATACTATACAATAAGAGTGAGAATTTGTAACATCCATTTAAGTAGGTTAAGGATGATTTAAACGTATTCAAATAAGTTAAGGATGATGTAAACGTATTCAAATAAGTTACAATGATAAAATATCAACAATAAAACAAAATAGTATTTGAAGGTGTCCAAATACTTAAGTCGTTAAGACATTATGTCAACACTTAACTTTTGAAGTTGTTTATCGAAGATTTTGATTCCATATTTGTCCAATATGTGTATGATGAACTAAATCAACTAGACATGAATTTTTTTTTTTGTTAACTTGACTATTTTTTAATCTAAATTAACACGTGTCTATGTATAAGATTTTACAATTAAAACAAAATCAATATGTAGTAGCTTATATTAAGAATTAATTTCACAAGTGAATCAAATTCTATATTTTAACTAAAAATTCATGTATTTCTTTTCAATATTTATACTTTTGTTTATTTTAACTAAAAATTCATGTATTTCTTTTCAATAATTATACTTTTGTTTTTTTATAAAGAAAAAACGGAGGAAATGGAGATAGATTTAAGTGAATACGAAAACTGTAAATAGGAAGAACAACTAAGTTACCAAAAATAAAAGAGAAACCCGTAAAGAAAATCTATGAAAGTAGTGACATAAAGTGTTACATTCATCACTACATTTTTCATTTCTCCTAATGTAGCATTCATAGAGTTTTTGAATTGTACCCACAACTTTTCATCCTTATTTTGTATTTGAATAATCTATTTATATTTTTTTTTCTCTTTTTCTGACAGTTAAACCAAAATATAAAATAACGGAAAAATTACATAAATTTGTTAAAATTGTCCATATTTTGTCAAATGTGTCAATTTTCCCACGTTTTGAAGTAGTTATCGTAAGCAATGAACTATTTATTATCCTTTGTTTACTTGAACAACCTTTATTTTGATCCTCCTCCTCGATCTCTTATGTCTCGATACACCCCTTCTTACATCATATCATTCTCTTTAATCTCCTTACCTCGATTGATCCTCTTATCTCGATTTTCTCCTTTGATGTCTTGATTTTCGATGCCTATTAAGTAAAATGTAAATTGTGTAGCTAAAAGAATTTTATGAAAATTGACATAAGGAAATATATTAATACATAATTATTCATAATTAATAAAATTATAAATGTTTGTTAAGATAATATCATCTAGAGATACTAGATTGCCTAACAATCTAAGTTTTGAAGTTTAACAATAAGCATTAAACAAAATATCCTTTTAGAAAATGAAGTGCCTATATGACCTGAAATGTCTAAGCATTTGCTCAAATCAAATGAAAACCTAAGGCTTTATACAAGAAGATAACTAAATCGTCCAAGTGTTAATACAAAGTCTTAAAATAAGAACATATAGTAATAGTGTTTCTCTAAAGCCTATAGTATCTAACATATTGTTTACAGGAAACGTCTGATCAATAAGAAAAGTTTGGCCAAAAGTTTTAGAGATAATATGCTTAAGGGTTTCTAGTCATGAAGAGATGAAAAGAAAAATATATCATGAAGGACCATTTTTGAAATATGTGCAAAACAATAGGATATGTTCACAAGCTCTCTAATAGAAATATCTATTATTGAGAATCATAAAAACACTAAAGCTTAATGTCTTACATAAAAAAGCAGTGTAGTAAGCAAAAGTCTCATATAAAGAATATCGTCTAATGAAAAGTGTGCCAAAATATACATCTAAAACAAGTTTTCATAAAGACTGCAATGCCTCACATTGTCTACTATCAATATGCTATACATCATCTAACATTTCTTGAACGATGCATTAATTGCTAACAAGACGTGTGAAAAGATGTTTTGAACCAAGAATACAGATTAACGTCTATAAACATTCAAAACATTTAATATCATTAAATGCATGTACTATAAAGTACTATTATGCTTGTATACTTTGTCCTCGATATATGTGTAGAATAGAAATACACAAAGGATTAATCAGAACATCACACACGTTGGAAAAAGACGTTGGGTAACTCTCTTTGAGGCTTCTGCACTGACGAATCGTACATGTTTCTCTTTAATGAAAACTCTAACAAAGCACCACACCTTTGTTGAAAAGACTAAAGTTTGACCTCCCACCTAAAGTCTATCTGCTCTTGTAAAATTAACTCAGCATCCAACAATCATCTCTTAAGAGAGCCTATATAAAGAATATCAACTAAAGAGAAAAGAGCTACTGCAATTGAAAAGGATATATTGGAAAAGGGTTAAGCAAAAATATAAAAGAGGTAAAAGACAAAGGAAGAAAGGAAAAGAAGAAAGAGATAGAGAGTATGCACAAAGAAGATTATAATTCATCAATTATGCCTCATCTCAAAGCTTATATTGTTTGATACTCTTCGACCTAACAAATATGATGAACACAAGCTTAAATAAGATAAAATGTGAAGAAAAAGCTACCATCTCATCTAGTCTTCCACCATACCTTCAAGCCTATATCGCCTGATGCTTCCAAAATGAAAGGAAGAAAAAGAAGAAGAGAAAGAAGAAGAAAAC